ACCATTCCGGCAGATGAAGTGGAGAGGAAACAACTACCGGAAACAATTCTGGATAATACCCTTTGGGCTAAGACCGCAGTTGATTTTTATCTACATGAGCGGAGCCAAGGGTGTTACGCTGACATATACAAACTCAACGATGATATGCATTTGTTGATTGAACAGTCTTGGTGGGGTGTATTATTAGGGGTTGAAGATAACTGCTATTTCGATGGGGGGTAAGTCTTATATTTCTTATATTTCAGTTTGATTAATTTTTTTTAAATTTATGTAATTCACTAATATATGTCTTTTTTTGTAAAACAGCATATTGATGCATGGGTGACACGTCTTCTAATTGTAAGGAAATTGAAGAAAAATATTAAAAAAATGCGATATACAATTATGCCGACGTCTTTTCACGTAGTTCACTTGAAGAATCAACGACAGGAATCATATGTGTTGGCTAAGGGACAAGCTAAACTTTATCCTGCATGGTGGGAGGTCGATAAGGTTAGTATATTTGTTTAAATATTTTAAGGGTGTTCATAAATAAGTGCGCAATTTGAATTATTACATTTCGATGCAGGTGTTTATCCCTATTTTGGACCGTACTCATTGGCTTCTCGTCAAGCTTCAGCTCCCATCCCTAAAGACAATAGTATATGACAGCATGATAAATTACATATCATTGTCTGATTTGAGAGATATGATTAAGGGATGGAGCTCTCATTTGGCTAAATTCTTGGATGCAATTGATTATTGGACTAAGTCTGGAAACAAGAAGCCAAAGAAGTTCAATGTTACAGTTATCAGAGACGAGACCGCGCCACAACAAACGAAGGAATCCAGAGGGGATTGTGGTCCTCTTGTATGCATGTGCTTGGAGTGTTTGACGACAGAAAGTACATAGTTTCTACCTCCCTCCGATAGAGATAGAGGTGCAGTAGGCTTGTGGTTTTGGCATTTTATGGCTAGAGCGATATATGCGAGACGCTGCCTACCTGCATCCGCATTATGAAAGTGTCCATAAACAATTTGTAAGTCAAATGTAAGTGTTGTTAAACACATTTACTCTTTTTGGTTTGAAAATGTTTGGTTAAGTAGCTAGAATTCAATAATTTGTTGTTTGTAGGTTTTAGATGTGTAGAAAGTGTTGTTGATTCAATGTTTGGTTTCTGCAGGTTAATCCTGAAGTGAGCTGCGTGAAATGGATGTATGGGTGCAAAAGTTTATTTAATTATTATTTTTTGATTGTTTAATTGATTTGTAAAAGATGATTTGTAAATGTTGGTTTGTTTAATTGATGTGTACATAATATTTGTGCTTGTTTAATTGATTGAAATGTAATATTTGATTTGTTGATTTCAATCTGCATTATGTTGAATGCAAAACAAACTATCGCAACGCGGAAATGACTATCGCAATGAGAGAATCGCAATGTGAAATGAAAATCGCAACGAGTGAATCGCAATGCGAAAATAAAAATCGCAACGCGAAATTAATTTCGCGTTGCAATTTTCATTTTTGATTTGTTTAATTGATGTGTACATAATATTTGTGCTTGTTTAATTGATTGAAATGTAATAGTTGATTTGTTGATTTCAATCTGCATTATGTTGAATGCAAAACAGACTATCGCAACGCGGAAATGACTATCGCAACGAGAGAATCGCAATGCGAAATGAAAATCGCAACGAGTGAATCGCAATGCGAAAATGAAAATCGCAACGCGAAACTAATTTCGCGTTGCGATTTTCATTTTCGCATTGCGATTCTCTCGTTGCGATAGTCATTTTCGCGTTGCGATAGTCAATTCCGCATTGCGAGAGTCATTTCCGTGTTGCGATAGTCATATTCGCGTTGCGATTTTCGCGTTACGATAGTCAAATGAATGTCTAATAAGTGATAACAACTGAACATATCATAGCAATGTTCAAACTTAAGTTACTAATACATGCCTAACTGAAAATGTTAAAAGTTCACACATAATATACACATAATACAACGTTTGCATTTAAAAATCACCTAAGTTAACAGTCCCAAAAGGTAAAGCCGGTTGTGATTGGGATTTTGATGAGGATCCATATTTTGGTAGAGGAAAAGATGATTGTGATGGTACTGGTGATCCACATGTCAACCTTGTATGACCACTTTCCTTGCACCGACTACATGTCGATCTCTTCTTCTCTTCACCCTTAGACGGTATACGATCGTGACTTTTTGGTCGCTCAGGTAGCCTTCTGTCCATGGCTGGTGGAAAAACTGTTTGTAAGTTATCTGGTATGTCCCACTAAGAAGGATGTGGAATAGGGTAGACAATCTCGCCATAAGTCTGTCGATATACTTCTGTAGTGTAGCAATCCATAGCGTATGCGCTTGAATCATCTTGGTTTAGATGAAGAGAAACTTTTATAACATGGCCACACGGATAACCAGATGTTTGCCATTTCATACAACTACACGTCTTTGCATTTAGATCGACAACCTCATTTAAGTTATTATCCAGTACTTCAAACAAAGTGTTTGAACATGGTTCAACTCTCCATGACGTTGACTTCACAACACGTTTCGTTATCTTTTTTTAGTCCATGGTGCAACATGATGTTCCAATGTTCCTGTAAATTTAAATAAATAATACTTAGTAAAATATATGATAAGTTACGAATTTAAAGAAATAATACCTGCATGGTTTCTTTTCTTGTAGTACCACTGTTGAATAGAGGCTCGAAAAAACTCCATTAACATAGTAATGGGTAATTTCCGGGAATGACGACTTAGATCGTTGATTGATTCTGCACTATTAGACGTCATGAAACCATATCTTGCTCCAAGTTGATGTACTCTTGACCATCTTTTAAACCCGACATCTTCTAGTGTTTGAGCACACTGAGGCAAAACATGTCTTAAACAGTTTATATGCTTATTAAAATCCACTTCCCGATAAGCTTTTACAGCCTTCCAGTATGTTCATTTGTGATTTTTTATACCAACAGACCTTGATTTTAGATTTCTATACAAATGAACACCACAAAGTCCATGAAAAGCATATAGGAAACACCTTCTAACAACATTGTCAATTGAGGTTGCCCTATCGGATATGATTGTCAGATTGCTAATAGGACCTATGTAATCCCTAAGATGCCCATAAACCATGTCCATGAATCAGAGGTTTCAGATTTGCCAACCCCGTAAGCTATTGGCAGTATCCCATTGTTAGCATCCATGGCTACTGCTAATAAATTTACTCCAAGGTATCGACCTTTTAAATGTGCTCCGTCAACTATAATAATTGGGCGCATGCAATTAATAAACGAACGAATCTACAAAAGCATATACACAAGAAATATAATCATTTAAATGTGAAATGCATGTAACTAACAAAAATGAGTCAACAAAATTATATTGATTTACTAACCGCAGCACCAATGGCGATAAACAGCAACTTAAAGAGTCCATCTCTATCTGTTTTGATATGAGTTACCGACCCAGGATTTTTCAGCTTTAAATTGTGACAATAAGCCGACAGTTGGGCAAACGATGCTTCTGGCGACCCCCTCAACAATTCCAAGGCATAACATTTGGCTCTCTAAGCTTAAGAATATGAGATACTAATCTTGAACCGAGCATTCATGTCAGTCATAATTTCATGTCCCCGATATACCCTACCATTCAAAAACATTAACTCAACCAGAAAACCACCCAACACCTTTTTGTTTGCCTGTCTATGGTGAGGAAAAACTTGGGTTCTTGAACATGTATGTTTATCAATAAAAGTCCTAACTTGAAACATTTCGCAATCTTTTATCCTCTTTGCAATCATACGCCACATACATTTTTTTCAATCATACACCTTGTTTCGAAACGATCTTTGCTTGATTTGTTAACTTTTAGTTGATAGCCATCTTCCACACATTTCGTATACAAAGCTATCTTCAAGTCTTCCTTTGTATCAAAATAATCATCTTTCTTGATACGAATCTTGATACGAATAATTTTTGTGTAACAATCAACTACTATCTTTACCAACTATTCTTCCGGTATCTGAAGTAATTCTGGCATATTCAAGTTATACTCCCGTGGCATTTTCTTCGGGGACTTTTCTTTGGGGATTTCTTCTTCTTCTTTTTCTTCTTCAGTGTTATATGAATTACATAATGGATGTTCAACATGTTCATTTACAGTCGTAACTTCCTCCTCATTATCATCAATAACATCTTCCTCGGCAACGGCTGTTTCATCATCAAAATTCGGGTATTGACCAATATCAAAATCATTACACGCATGGTCTGTTTCTTCTTCTGAAAAATCATCAAAATCCGAGTATTGACCAAGATCAAAGTCCGGGTATTGACCAAGATCAAATTTCGAATACTAACTAGTACTCACAATTTTTTCTGTTGGCTCATCATCGTCTAACTGGTCAATACGAAAACCGGAATTTGGTGCTGAAAGTTGATTGGGATTTGGATTAGGGAAAGGTTGTGGGTTTTGAGATTGTGTTTGGTATTGGAAATGTGGTGAAACAATATTTGCTTGGTGATGAAATTGTGGTGGAACCATTAAATTTTGAGCACTATAAACTGGGTTTGAAAAACTTAGTTGATTACTACCCGCTACTGACCCAACTTCACTACTTCTAAGTTCAACAACATACAATGTAACATCATCACTTGAAACACTAATGTAAGCAATGAATCGTTCAACATCTTCATTGTCGGTTAACAAATAAACTTTACCATTTCTCTGATAAGATAGCCTAAATCCACTTAGGGGCTCTAAATTCAATTTATTTGCAACACGTAACATTAGAGTTTCATAAGTTAACTTTTTTAATGACAGTTTTAGTTGAAGATTCATGGGTAAAGGCATATATTGTAAAACACCATGAACATTCTCCCATGACCCTCCAAAACACAAATCTATCTAAACATGATCAACATTAGATGATTTCATTATTGTAAATTAATTTACTAAACAAACGAGGTGCGAAACTAAAACATGTTGCCGGATGGGGAAGGATGTCGTTGGATATAGGAACGGGTGTCGCAGGAGAGAGTGATAGATGGAGATGGAATGAGTTGCGATTTAGGGATTTAGGTTATGAGTTGCTGCTGCTGCGTAGTTATATACCAAAAACATTTGTGTTGCAAAATTAAAACCTGTTGCGAATTCAGAAATCGAGTTACGAATTTGAAATTCAGTATTGCGATAGTCAGAATCTCGTTGCAATTTACAGATTCGCATTGCGGTTTACGTAATCGCATTGCGATTTACGTAATCGCATTGCGATTTAGGAAAATCGCAATGCGAATTTAGGAAATCGCAATGCGATAGTTAGAATCGCGTTGCGAATCTGGAAACTGATTTACGATACCGGAGATCGCGTTGCAAATTATCGATCGCATTGCGATGTAGTTGGTCATTTTGGCAAATCCAAAAAAAGTTGGTTAAAATCGTATATTAAAAGGCATTTTGGGTCACTGAGATTATTTTCTCAATTAATAATCAGTTTAAGCTAAAGAATTGCCAGTACGTCGCTTAGGGTTCTATATATAACGAGGTTTTTGTTTTTTTATCGTTATTGCACTGGTCGGCAGAGGTTATTACAGTTGTAAAGAAGGAGCCATCTACGTCGCAGGCGGAATCAGGGATGGAAGATAGCTTCCTTGGTTTGACCGGGGATGAATTCGCTTGGTTTGGGAAGATGGAAACGACGTCGTCAACGGTTTTGGAGAGCACGTTGTCTGCGGAGAGGGATAATGGTGAAGCGGATGACGCGGCGATGATTTTCCCGATAAGGGAAGAGGACAAGTCATTGTTCGCTGATCTCGGCAAGTTGTCGGAGTGCTCTTTTGTGTTTCGGCATCAACAGAATGTGGGACCACAAGTTGAGATCTGCTGACACGTGGAAAACTATCAAGTAGCAAGTGGCGGGGCAGTTGGTCCATCGTCATCCCGTACCGTTTTCATTGTCGATTTGCGGGTTTTGTTTTGGATTATCGGTTGAATTTAGATACTCGATTTACATTCGTAGATAGTTTTTACACAACTCAACTTTGATTTGCGATTTTTCACATCTATCATTTTTCAAGTTTTGGTTAGGTGTTTTAATATTTCCTTTTATGGTCACATAGTTAGTTTTTATGTCAATGATTTAAAAAATATCTTAATTATATACTTAACTTACGCTTATGATTTTAAACCTTCACTGTAATTTGTGATATTTACTTTCTAATAATACTAGTGTTTCTTTTAAAAATTGTATTGTTAGTCAAGAATAAAATTTCAAATTTTGAAAAAGACTAAAATTGATTAAATTAAAATATATGTGCTAAATCCATAATTTACACATTAAACAAATGTTAATAGTAGGATTTGACCTTCTATTTTTTAAAAAAAAAAGTTAAATAGTTAGACAACATATTACATTTTGTTGAATTAAAATTTTAATATTATAAATTGCAAAATTGATTTTGGACTTAATCAAATTTATTAAAAATAATTTAGTCCAGATTAACTTGAAAAATATGTTTTAAATGTTTTCCAATTTAGTAGAACATTTTCAAAAATATACTCAATTGTTTTCGCGTTTTAAAGTCGAGTTTCCAAACATTTTTTGTTCAAATGATCGATCCCTTAGACAAAAAGATCGATCCTTTTGACCAAAGGATCAATCCCCTTGATAAAGGATCAATCCCTTCGATACTAGTAAGTTTTGGATCGATCCCTTGAGGAAATGATCGATCCCTTCACCAAAAGTATCAATCCATTCCCTTAAAGGATTGATCATTTCTTACAATAGTTGAATTATTTGAAAAATGATTGATCTCTTGCATTAAATGTTGTTTTTGGTTTTTGATAATGACTATAATGACTCTCAATTGTTCTAAACGGCAGAATAGATAGAGAATGTATAAATTGAAAGACAAAGCATCTCAAGGTCAACAAGAATCATATTGAATCAACCTACCAACATCAAAGTATTCTTTTGTGCTTATTTGTCAAACTATTTGTTGTAAACACACTTGTGAGCTACATTATTTATTTTGCTCAAGTGTGAATTGGGTAAGTGCTTAAATTGTGCAAATAAATTTGCCTTGTGAGGTTTTCTCATTTGTTTGCTTTATTTGTATTTACTCATTAGGAGAGTGTGTATTCAAGGTTTTGGGGTATAAACCTTGAAGCGTTTGTAAGGTTACACATTGTCCTTAAAAGTAAGCAAATCTAGTGGATTTGACAAATCCTTAGTGTGGGTGCTAAAATAGTAGATGTAGACTTTAGTTGATAAAGTCAAACCACTTTAAAATCGTTATGCAAATCTTTATATTTTTCGGTTGCTTCCACAAAATGTTTAAAAGGCCAATTCACCTCCCCCTTGGTGTAATTCGGTTGTTCGTAAGAGCTTACACATTTCTTTTAATAGAAGCCGCTAGTTTTATTAAAAAGTGAAAGTATTCAAAATTATAATAAGAGTTTACAACTATCATCATAAACAAAATATATAATTTGGATTTTTTCTATAACATTGAAACTAACAACTTTATATCATATAAGGGACATACATGGAAAAGATTAAAAACCTAACCAAAAGACTACTCGAACGAAAAATAGATATAAGAACAAATCTGATTGCATTAGCAAACAAACCACAAAAGATGATTAAGCTATTGAAAGACCATCGTGAATCACAAATTAAAGCCAAGTGTCTAGGAAAATATTCATGAACGCAAAATCGCGTATCCAAATTCAATATGAGGGTCTAATAGCAGAGAAGATCAACATGATTTCAAATAAGCGCAGTCTTGATTGATCGTGACATCGTCAAATTTAACCCTAAGAAAACATAAAAGTAAAAGAATTACCAAACGACCGAGAAAAAAGATAGAAAACACGCCACGAAGATAAAGAAAAACATATTTCAAAAGTAGGATTATTCTTATTAAAAAATTAAAAAAATTAGCAAAAAAAATCAACGATCTACAAATAATATCAAAACTAATGTCACCGCTAACTAAATAAAGTCAAAGAAAAAGAATGATATGATCTGTAGGAAATAACGACTTCAAGGAAGGAAAAAAAAAAGGAGGAAGGGCGGCTGAGGAGAAAGCGGTTCATCAAGCCATGTCTACCCCTATTGGATTCCCTCGTGTACCTTTGTTAGGAAGTCGATAATTACAGTCGGTAACTACATTGTGGTAGGGAAGGGCACACAAAAAAGGAAATTAGATCAACAAGGTGACCCTACGGCCAACAAATATAACAAAAACCACAAGGGAACACGTGGCACCTTGGCACCAAAGGATCTTTTTACGTTTTGCATATAAGGAAAAAGGTGGTTAGAGAGTGAGTATTGAAAAATTGTTATCCAAATACTCCTCCTACTTGTCTCTCTCTTTCTCCATTTCTTCTTCAGTTTAATAGCAATTGCAGTAAGTTCATAACAGATTGCATCTACTCTAGACATATATAACCTTTATCTCTCATTCATCCACGATTGACTATTGATTCCTTCAAATTTAAGAAAAAAATCGCAGTTCAATGAAATTTCAAATGTTGATCAATGTTTTTTATGAGAAAAATGAGTACATAAGAACAAATGGGAGTCTATATAGAAGAGATGGTCCATAGGATTTCCTTTGCATTCATAATGATCTTAATTAATGGTGTAACTATGACTACTCTAAGGTCAACAAATTAATTTTATCTAATTGTAAGATCTTGAATTTCGTCATGATAAATCACGTGAATCTATCAGAAGTATTTTCAATGCACTGTAATTTACTTGGAATTATGATACTCCAAGAGCATGAGTTCCTTGAAAGTCTCGATATATTTAGCCTTTTTAGCACTCTTAAATAATAAAGAATTAATAACTTTTAAAAATCGTCTCTAAAAATATAACGATCACCATTCTATATCATGTTATGATCTTCATCCTTCATCTCTAAAAGATTAACATTGTCGGAGAACAGCACCTTTTTTATTGTCGAGACATGTTTAGCAAAACCCGCAGGTGACGGAGATCGGATTTATCTCCGACAAACATGGCTGCGATGTCGGTATCGGTGTGACCCCTCAACTCTCTCAACCGCCTTTCAACACTTTTGAATATGGAATGTCGAGCAACGTCGTACACGGGAAGTTCACCAACGACTTCTCAGTAATAGGCATTTTTATGGATTAAAATTTTAGAATAATTAATGAAATTAAATTCGATCTTCATTTGAAATTTATTTGTTATCAGGATAGCTAGCAAACGAATTCGAGTTTGGGAAAAAACAAAATGAAATAACAGAGAAAGAAGGTTTGTTTCTCATGAACATAACATGTCTGACACATTTTATACATTATCTCCACATAGACTTTCCAGGAACCTTCAGCAAAATAACTAAAGTACTAAATGAATCCCCCCGAGAGGGATTAGTTGAAATGAAGAAGTCATAATACTGAGAATTTTGATTCTGATGGAATCCATAACAACCTCTACAACAGTACAGAAAAATGAAGTTGAAACAAGGAACCCGAGGTCCACCATCCGCCTGCCACCTGAATTTAGCTTAAAGTGTCGACTTTTCTGTAAATGGGTACAGCATTGCCCCTGTGGCTCGGACCAGAAGGCGGTATTCGACGTTTCCTGAGAACACCAAAAGCAATTCCATGGGGTGCAACATTATCAACCTGATTACCCGCACTGACCACACCGCCCCCTTCGTTCGAAGACGTTATTCCAATTGCGGAAACGCTTCTCAACTTGAAGGTTGGCAATAATAACATCAAGATGATAAGCAAAAGTATATAGTTGAAGGCAGCCATGATGGGTTCCTTTTTGCTAAGCTCGTGGGGTGGGCAAGGCAGGTTGACTACCTATCTACACACACTTATATATATATAGGACAAATTTGTTGAAATCCCTTCAAAGTGTTTTGATTGTAATTACTAGGAACCAGTGGCGAATACAGAAATTTATAAATGGGGTCCAAATTTTTAATTTTATTTTCTTAAAAATAATAGGGTGCAAAAATTTTTACTTTTCCTATTTTTCTTTAACATATTATATTAAATTTTAATTTTTTTCCTAAATAATGAGGATGTACTTGATCCCTAGGGGGTTTAGTGGATCCGCCCTGCTAGGAACCATACATGAGTGGGGATGGTCTAAAAAATTATCTAAATATTTTTTCTTACGGAATAAATTTATAGTGTTTTTTAGGAAAACAAAAATAAATTATAATTAAAAATATTTAAAATATATAAAAGAAATTAAAATTTTCATAAAAGCACCGTCTCTACTCTCTACCTGTGCCTTCCATCCATCTCTAGCTAGGCTCGAGATAATGGGAATTAGAAGTTGGCAGTGCTGCTTTAGATTGCGATGCTACCTACCCAATTTTAATTTACATGATTAATGCACAGGGATTATCCCTTTTGAATCATTTAGTGGAGCGAAAGATATGTATCATGCACCTCCTGGAATAAGAAATATCAATGGCTGCTGGCACGTTGCTGACGTGCTGGAATGAGAAAGACATGTGTAATAGGTTAATGCAGAAAAACTCACAACAAATATTATATATATATATATATATATATGAGATAGTATCCTATTACACAGTATAAAATTACGTAAAATCTTTTAGTTTTATATAGATTTAAGACCGTCAGATGAGTGAAAATATATATTTGATACTAACAGTAGGAAATTAGAAGATATTCATTGAAAAATGAGTTAATCTTAGTAATATATTTTCACTTATCCAACAATCTTAAATCTGTATAAAATTAAAAAAAAAAGTTTTACATTAACATCTTATTCTATCATAAATTATGATTGTTGTCTAAGCACACTACAGTTATATAATTACACTCGATTACATTCAAATTTAATAATAAAATGACTTTCTA